TTGATGTGAGGACAAATATTCTGCAACCACATTTAGTGAAAGCAGATTCTGGGTTACTTGCAACTTATTGGGGCTTCAAAGAGTCGTGTACTGCTTTCAACTTTGTGAAGTTCTCTCTTCATTTTAGTAACTTGTCCTGTAGGCCTATTAACTTAGTAGCGCATTAAAAATAGAAGATAATAAATTTAAACCAATACAAATATTATTTATTCAAGATAATTATATAAATACATACAAGTAAACTTGGTGCATTCGACCTCCTCAACTCCCCTTAAGCCAGAAATATGCAATTACGCCACTGCCACTAGATTAGTATTTGGTACCATGCCAATATATTATATGTTTACTTGGCTTCTTCCAAACCAAGATGCTCAGCTTTAAGATTAAATTACTATTACGGATATTGTGGAACCTAAGATGATTTCAAGGACACTTGTTTATGCCCATTAGTTGGAGCAAGCTACCTCCCTAAATTTTGGAATTTCAAATATGAAAAGAACATAGGTAAATACTTTTTATTAAAAAAAAATAATAATAATTTTTGATTTATATAGATCTAAAAACCTATTTTGGTAGTTAGTGTATGAATCTCACTAAATTGACAGACAAAATTTCCATTAACATAGCTCCCAGGGAACTATACCAATAGACTACAAATTTTATTATGTTTCTGTCTTATTTTTTATTTTTTAATAAATTTATATTTAATTTATAATTATTTAAAAATTAAAAAGAAAGAAAGGAATATGACTGCTATGCGAGACAATCGTATTAACAATATTTTTAAAATTCAATATCGTGCAAACATATTGTATACCATATATACATTTTTCTAATGGTATTAGGCATATGATTATCATTAGTAATAAAAATAATTTTTTGAATATTATATGTTATTTTTGTTTTTAAAAAATGGATTTTTCCTTTTTATTTTTCTAAACCATATGGGCCCCTAATCATATGATTATCACTTAAAAATGAGAAAAAAGGTCCCATCTTTAATTTTCGGATCGGTCTAATTTTTCTTTTAAGCAATAATTATTGCAAATTCAGTCAACCTCTGTGGTTATTGTATTGTGATGTTCCGGATGAGCAAGTCCTTCAACTCATTTATAATCAATCAGACATCCTTATGACAGAAACAACATGAAGCTTTCTCCAACTCTTGAACATCTCTCTATTTTTACAGATAAAACATACACTAGGGACTCAATTCCTTCTCACACAGATTAATATTTAACTTCATTCCTTCTCAACCGAGTCTTGTTCCGGAAAGTTCACCGCTTCTTTCACACAGTGCTCACAAGATAGTATTCGGGTTGGGACTGCAGATTCCTCCTGCGTTTTGTTTGAAATGAAATCTCTTTCCTCTTTTGAACTGCTGTACTCCTTTTCTCTGGGTCCTAAGCTAAGATAATCTGTCAAAACCTTCTTTATTCCCACATTACCTTGTGGAATTTTGCCGCTGCTGATGAAAGGGGATCGTTCACCCTTGGCAGGTGAAAAGCTCGGTGTGGCAACAGCTGATTTGTATGGAGTGCTTGGGACAGGCACTGAGTATGGAATGGAAACACTTTTGTGACCAATGACGCCAACGTTAGAGAATTGGTCAGAATGCTTGGTCAAGTCATCCACATAAAGTAGATCATCAACACGTGCAATAATGTTAAATGCCAGGCTCTCCAAAACTCTAGAGTAACTTTCTAAGATGGACTTCCCAACATCCTGTACAGTATTAGATAACCACTTTTGGTATATGCTCTCTTGGAATTAAAAAGACAATTTAAGAGCAGATTTTCAAAGTAGATTAAGAATTACACAAACCTTGTTATACTGGATTTTGCTCATGTCTAAGGCTGTCTGTGGGAGACCAGGGAATCGCTGTTTCAAGCAAAGCAAGAGGCTTTCTGCTCGGTCTGCTAGCAACTCCCTTTTCTCTGCATCAACCATCAATTCCTTAACTAAATCCCACGATGACTTTGAATTGGACCGAGCTGTACTATTGGCTGGTTTGGAGTTGGTTCTTTTGTGCCATACGTAGATTGAGGCCTCTACCCGATTGGCAATCTCTATAGCTTGATGCTCAGAAGATAAATCAAGGCAATCAAGCAGACAATCAGGAGAAAACTGATCTGAAGAAATATATCTATAGATAAAATCTCCGAGACTTGCTCTTCCATTCTGGAAACAGTCAGAACAGCATTTTGATAATAAGGTTTTTGAAGATCATATAACACAAAATATGTTCTACTCATTTAGTACCTTTGGAAGAGAGTCCAAGTATGACTCGGGCACTTCCATATCTGCTAGAGTAATGCTATTGATAGCCATGACAGCCTTCAATATTTGGTTCGTGCAATCACGTTTATGCTGCAGCTGCTTTCTTGAATTTTCATGGAGGCCACATGGAGGGACACGTGGCACAGGCAACCACCATTTTTCCTCTTGGCGCTGAACGACTCTTTGGAAAGAGGACGACCCATCTCCTTCTGAGGCTAAAATTCCTTGGTCAACATACCAGAACTCAGTGTCTTCAAAACTATCCAATATGTCCTGGAAAAAAAAAAGATAAGATTCAGAGTGACACAACAATAGGAGGGAATTTTACAAACCAATAGAGGTCGGAAGATCTTACCAGAAGCATGTTATCTAATTTTCGAAGAGCTGGGAGATTAACATAAAGATCTGATCTAGGTCTGCAAGTCATGACCTGAATTACAACAGAAAATAAGCCAATGAAAACTTTTGCAAGAATTTGTTCATTTTTTAAACCCAGAACTGAAAAAATTTTCCTTTTCCACGACTTGGCCCTTGATATCATTTTCGTCACATTGAATGAATTATATTTTTTGATGAAAACCTTCATATATTTAATATGCTTGACATGATTAAACACTGAAATTCAAATTTCAAAAACTTGGTATTATTTTCCTCGCATTAATCAAATAATATTACTAACTTATCAACCTTTTTCCTTCCATAGTTTCAGTTTCCCTATCATCCTTGTGAAAATTAAAGATAAAACTTTGCATTTCAGCAATTGTTCGGAAGAAAACAGCATGTCCACTAATGAGAAGCTCATATATATGGCTGACTAATATTTGAAGTTGAACCCAAAAGCCTAATCCATTAACCAAATCTAGTAATTAAGACCAGTTTCAATATTACCTAAATTTAAAGCAGATTAACAGTATCACAAATAAAGACATTGAAGGGTCTGGTTAGCATCTACCTCAAGCTTGGTTCCATCTGGAAAAGTCTGCCAAGAGGGCATCAACTCAACGATATGATCACTAACACAAAGAAACCACCCCATCTCTCTTCGCCACATAGCTTTCTTCTCAGGAGGTACAGGTTGTAACCTCCATAGTTGCCCAAACAATGTCGCTATAAAATTCAATCAGAAAGAAGCAAGAATTCACCATCAACAATGGAGACCATACTCCCAAATGCCCATAAAAACACAAAGGAAAGGTCAAGACAGTAACTTGAAAAGTAATAGATTAACATACCGCAGAGATTAGTAATGGCATTTGAAATTGCCAATGCCGTGCAGACCCCGTTACCACAACCTGACATATCTTCTCCAAGCAGCAATTTTGAAAACCTTTCTTTCATCAATTCAATCTCTGTAAACCCACGAAACACACAATTCATCAAACCCATTATCACAAAATTCAATCATGCAATTGAGGGAGAAGAAGTACCTGAAATTGTTGATCTTTGTTGCTCTAGTTTCCTATTCTCCGGAAGAGGTTTCTGTCCATTTCCACTAGTAGTATGAGGACTAATGCAATTTGTTGACTCAATTTTCTCTGTAGGCCAACCTAAAGAAGGAGTCGAAGATGACTCCTCCTCCGAGCTACTATGACTATGTTCTTCATGCCCAGTTGTCTCAGACGTCAAAAAATCAGAGCTTGAACTACTTTCTCGACCTGCCTCTTCAATCAAATCAGAAAATACCTCTATTTTATCTCCACTTCCACTAATCCCCTCTTTCTTCTCCTCAATGCCATTGTTAGTATCGATAAAACCCTCCATTACTCCAGTCCCTTCTTCGATGAACTCAGGTGAAGCATCGAAAACGGCGTTGTTAACTACCATTGAAGGACAATCGATCTTTTTCAAGCCAAACCCATTTGAGAATCGAGTTCTGTCGTATAATTTTCGCAGAGGTTCCGGGACCCAGAAAGCCAATGACGAGGAGAAAAGGTTGAGGTCTCCGGAGCTTCTTCGATGGTTTAATGGCAACCAAATCTTAAGCTGACACTGATTCTGCTGAAGTTGGTAGTGTTGGGTATTATTATCTCTTTCTTCTTGGTGAGTGAAAGCTCTATCCATAACTTTGCCACCATTCTGGTCCTGTTTGGTAGAAGAGAAAATTAAAAAACAAAAAGAAAAAGGAAAATATGAGGAAGTGGGTGTGTTTGTTGTAGTTGTAGAGTAGGCTTTTTAGTTCTTATAAATGTGGAGTGAGGCTGGTGATGATTACTGAAGCTTGCTGCAACACATGAACGAAGACAGAAGCGGAGGAGCCTTCAACATTTAAGATATTTTTCCCGTCTGTACATATATATAATCAACTCCATATTTTTTTTTTTTTCCTGATAAAAAACCAGGGATTCTCTTTTTTCTTTATCTCTGTGCGTTTGTTTAAACAAGTTTTTTCCCAAACGATTAGGGAATTAATAAAAGAAAGGTTTTGTTTGATAAAGTAAGTTGATGGGGAATCGTGTAAGCGACGGATCTGTCCATTCTATCGTTCATCATGCTTTCATCTTCCTTCCTAAGATACGCTAGGTTTAACTGCTAAATTACCACATTACCCTCACCCTTAATTAATTTCATAATTTTAACCTTGATTAATTATTACTCTAATATCATAAATTATGACTAATCAAATCATCAAGATTTCCATAAAACATTAAACAAAATTAAAAAGTTGAACCTTTTTTTCTGAAACAAAATTATTATATTCGGAGCTTGAGGTGAATGTTTTCTGGCACGTAGAGAAAAATGAAATAATTGCTAAATTTTGTTCATAACTTTTTTAGATTTATAATTATTTTACACGGGGTAAATATTTTTAAAGAAAAGCTTGTTTGTAAAAATCAGTGCTTACAATTGAAGCTTGAAGTAGACAATTTAATTAGTGTATTTATTTACTTCTTATAACAGTGTAAAAATACTACAAAAATTAGTATTCAAAATCATTTAAAAAATAAAAAAATATATATTTATTTATCTCTCCATTGAATTTAATTTTGAAAAATACAATCTGATATAGGGTAGAAAAATGATAGGGCATTTTTCAAGTTACCCTCATGAAAGATACGTTTTGTTTTTATTTTCTTTTTGTTTTTTTGTTTTTTTGGGGAAAGAAATGAAAATTTGTATCATCTATATGAAAAGTTATTATTTTTTCGAATTCAATTTTAAAGGAGAAATAAAACCAAGAAAGTTTCTTGAAAACCTTCCAAAATTTCTTCATGGGTCATCATTTAATGGATAAAATTATATATATATATATGTATGTGTGTGTGTGTGTTTTGAAAGGACAAACATACCCTCGTGAAACCTCAATGAAGCTTTTCAAGGGCATCTTATATATATATATAGTACAGCAAACAAAGAATTGAGGTCCCAATTTGTGTCTCTAATAATTACAGTCTCGTTTGACCCAACCATATACTTTCTAAATGTAAACGTTATATTTTTTATAATTATTTTTATGTTGTTCAAATAATATAGAGAAAGAACATTTGCTATTTCTGTATGTAGTTTTAGTAAAAATCAAGTTTTGAAAATAATTTTATAAACTACAGATTATATAGATTATGTAATATATTTCATAATTTAGAGACTTAATTTTTAAACAAAACATTAATTATTAATCAAATTTGATTGGAAAAATAAATGAATCCGACCATCTTTAAACATTTTTTTTTGAATAAAATAAAAACAAACTCATAATTTTAGGGAACAAACAGAGGAGAAGTAAATGATACAATATGTAAATGCCATAAACGTGATCTATTTTATAAGAAAATGGACCAGATCCATTAAATATTTTTTTCATGTCCAAATGTCAATTAATGGTTCAAGTTTAAATTTGAATATTTCAAAAATAACAATTACATGAGCTTCCTTCTCTCTCCATGATGATGGTCCCAAGGTTATATATACATATATACATATATATACACACACACACACACACCACAATTGCCATTAACTAGAGAATTTTTGCCCATAAGTTTAAATTTTATTATTCACATTTACTTTGCAGTAATTTTTTTCATATTTACCATCGACCCTTTATCTGTCTCACCATCTCCATCTTCTCAAATTTACATATTTCTTTCATTGAAGTTAATAGTTTACATTGTGCTAATATAACACGTTAAGTTTTGTAATTTATAAACAGTACAAGGGCGGTTGAAAAGAAGTATACAGTGAATGAAGATATATATATATATATATATATGTATATATGTCTTCATTAATAAGTAAAAGGCAATGAAAGTTGGTCTTGGAGTTAGAATTAAGATGTGATGATAATAAGAACAAGATGAAGATGTTTAATTATGTTAACCTTTACTCCCAAGGCAACATGTTTTTATTTATTTATTTATTTATTTATGAAACAAAACAAAACAAAACAAAACATAGATTCTGTTGTTGGAACATCCAAACTGATCCAAAAGACAGGCTTCCCTCAACGGCTACTCGTTACCTTTTAATTTTGAATACCCATTAGAGGGAAACCAATTGTCTTGCTTCAATTACAAGCTCTTTCTTTTTCTTTTTTTTTTTTTTTTTTTTCCTTTCTTTACCTTTTAGTTACTATTTTACATATATATATATATATATTTATTGATTCCTCACTTGTATTTGCCATCACAAGAACATACCCTATTAAATGTGTTCGTGAAACAAATGAATGAGAATTTTTAAAATCAATTTGGATCCTCCCTCCTCGTAAAACATTAGCCATTATGAAATTCTAAGTAATGTTACTCCAATAAAATATTACCTAAATGTGGATTTAAATCATGCTTTACCGTTACGTATTTACATTATATGAATCACAAGTATCTAAAATAATATATTTTAGATAATTAAGAATTATTCATGCTATCTCATTAAACACTAATGAACTAAATTTTTTGATCCTATTGAATCAAAAATAACGGGTTGATCACTATTACCTCATAATACATCCATAAAATATTGAATTTTATATCTTTGGTGAGATTCAAATTCGTATAATTTGAATAAAGCACATACATTTTAACTATTAGATTATTGTATTGTTACTAACATATATTCGGGTGATTCAAAGAATTAAATATTTTAGCTCATACACGGACTTTTAAATTTTATTTGGAATAAAATTCAAAATTTGTGTATAATTTCATTTGTTTCACGTTTATTTTAACTTAGAGATAACAACAATTTTTCTTAAAGTAATAGAATTGAGCTCATATCAAATTTGATAATATATTTTAAATCCTATTGAAAGCTTGTGGAATTTGGATTATGTTATTTGTAATTTCACATGGAATTCTATGTAATTTCAAATTTGTCATTTCTTTTAATAATATTAACATTTCTTTTAGTTAAAACAAGTGCAAATCTATAAATAATTTTTTTTTTAAAAAAAAAGATTTGGTCCATACGTGACCTTAAAAGAGTACAAATACTTTTAATCTATTTTGAAATCCATAATTAATGTGAACTAAGAAATCTATATTTATTATGACGAAAAGAACTATAAATTTATTCAGAGACTATAAGAATTAAGCTCGTATGAAATCACATTCAAAATCGGATATTGCATTACGAATTTACAAAATTTTATAAAATTTTGATTTTATTCAATCACGAATAAAATTTTGTATGAACTTAAATTTTTTAATATTGGCTAAGATTTTCATCATCTTTTAGGTGCAATAAAAGTGACTTTACAAATAAATTCTACATATATTTTAGATTTATCTAAAAGTAGTCTTAATTTATTTTTTTTTTCGATATTTTTATAGGTTAAATCAGTTGGACAATAAATATAGAGAAAAAAAAAGTGCAAAAATTGTTTGAGAATTTTAGTAAGAAACATTTGTCATAACAAGCGGATTATTCATAAGTGTAGAAAAAAATATTTTCTGCCAAATATGGTAAAAAGAGTATGATATTTATTATAATTTTGTTCCTATATTCTATACCTACCCAAATAAATTATAAAATATTATTTTTAATTGTAAATAAATAATATAAAAATTTATAATTTCATTGCAATATTATTTGATCTTGTTAAATAGTTATTATTGTAAAGGACCTAAACCTAAAATGAAATAAATCATAAATTGAATGCAGAAACGAAATAATAAAGTTATGATTTACATTCCTTACATAATAATTTAGAATACCCAATAAGACTACGAGAATAACCATTCTAAAAGAATAAATGAAAAATCAAAGAAATAAATAAAAAGTAAACAACTAGACATCCTATTCACAACCCCCTTGTGGATCGGGATCTGGATCTTGGTCCTCTTGATCTGAAATAGTTAATGAAATGGTAAGTTACACTAGTCTAATAAGAATATCACACTACTCACCGATACATAAATGAAGGTTGGTAAAAATCATAAAAACAACCAATGGAGCTCTTAAATTAAGTAAACTCATTTATCATAAACAAAATCATTTATTGCATACTTACTGTTGCGATATTTTCAAAATCGACCTATAGAGGTAATAACACAAACAACATCATAATATCATATTCAAGTGATCATGACAACAACTTGTTCTTTTTATTTGCTTACCGGTATCGTTAGGGGTCCATAGGGATGTCCCATTACGCGTGAACCCATATCAAACCTTATCAACTAACCAGCCGTCCCCATACCCCGTCCGGTATGAGCGCTAAAAGTATCATCCCTCAATACCATGTCCGGTATGAGGATGCATCGGGCCGTTCCTATATCCTGTCTGGTATAAGCGTCAAAAGCATCATCTCTCAATACCTCGTCTGGTATGATGGTGAATTGGGCTGTTCTCATATCATGTCTGGTATGAGCGCCAAAGATACCATTCCTTGATACCCCGTTCGGTATGAGACAACGTTCATGGTAGAGTTTTCTATATACTCGGTCCATCCACTATCTCCCAGGATATCCAGTAAAACAATCATTCACTCATTCATTTAACCAATCAATTTTTCGTTTACATTTTAATTTTCAGTTTCACAAATTAACAGTAAATCATGCGAGAAAAGCAATGCATGTATTAGGAAAATCCAACTGAATCATCTTACCAATTCCAGTGTATTATCATGCATTTAAAATCGTAAAATCAAATAATTAGTTAAAACATGACAAACAGTAATAAATAACCGGTTCCGGTTCCATTTCCATTAGTAACATGTAATTAATTCTTGAATTTTTTTAATTACAAAAAATACCGTATTATTTATAATTAAACTTCAATTCCATAACATAAAATAAGGTGATGGATTCTTACTCGAATCGGTGCGGTGGCGAGCGGCAGTTGGCTCATTCTCTGGTGGTTGGTTCTTCTTCTCTGGCGGGGGACTGACGGCTAAGGTTTGGGTTCTGTGTGAAGCAAAATATTTATACCCATCTCGAATG